TCACTGAAGCAAGACACACATTTAATCATAATTCAGATGAAAATATTATGGGACGAGCTCTAAAATTTGAGACTGTGTGTTCATGTGAGTATCAGATAAAGTGTGCATGTAATGTAACATGTATAAACATAAAATATCAAGAGAAGATAGGATAATTCAATTCCTCAAAAGACTAAATAAGTCATTTATTATAGTGAAATCTCAAATTTTACTCATTGAGCCATTACTTCCTCTTAATAAAGTCTTTAAAATGGTGTTAGAACATGAGTAAAAATCTCAATACAGGAGTGTCTATATAATATGAGTCAAGTAAGTATATCAATAAAAATTTTGGTCAATAGCAAAGAGTGACAAATACATATAATTGTGGTGGAAATAAGAAGAATAATAGAGGAGTTACAAATAAACGATCGACTTGTACACATTATGGATTCGTTGGCCATCAATAGATAAATGTTATAAGAAATTTGGTTATCCACTAGGTTACAAGGCTAAGCCAAGAAATGTATCAAACATCAATCAAGCAAGCTCTCAGACATCTAACAGTAACTCGTAAGCGCCTGAGTGCTCTATGAGATTCAATTCTCAAAGTAATATTTCAAACGACTTGCTCTTTTCCTTTACCAAAGATCAATATGACAAATTACTAGCATTATTTTCAACCTTTAACACCTTTAACAAGCATTCCACAAGATAATACTCTTGCAGTCAATTTTTAGCCTACATTTGAACCATGTAATATTTTTCTTCCTTTTTTCAGTGTCAAATTAAATAAATTGGATTACTTATTTCGATGCTACTAACCATATAGTCAATTCACTTGAGATGTTTGATTTTTGTAGGCATGTAGATAACACATTTATCAAATTACCTGACTCTTAAACATATAACTAGGCCATTCATTTTGCCATGATGGAAAGAAGCAATGCAAACTGAAATAAAGGCACTCAAAGAGAATCAAACTTGGGATTTAATTACCTACCAATAAAAAACCTATTGGATGCAAGTAGATTTATTAGATAAAATAAAGGCTGATGGTTCTATAGAAAGATACATAGCCCAACTAGTGGCTAAGAGTTATATGCTACAATTGGGAATTGATTATCTATCAACATTTTCATCAGTTGCTATGTTAACCACAATTAAGACTTTGTTTGTTGTTGCAGCTGCCTAAGGATGGTTCCTCTAACAACTTAACATCAATAATTCTTTCCTCCATGGTAATCAATATAAAGAAGTTTATATGACATTACTACCTGGTTTTCAAACTGCTAAAGAAAATCAGGTGTGTGAACTAAAGAAAAGCTTGTATGGACTAAAACAAGCTAATAAGCAGTGGAAATTTTAAGGTTACTATGAGATAAAAAAGTAAAGGTTTTGTACAAACATATTCAAATTCATCGTTGTTTATCAAACAATCTGATTCAAACTTTATTAGTCTCTTTGTTTATGTTGATGATGTCATTCTTTCTAGTAATAGTATGTCTCGGATTGATTCTGTTAAAAAATATGTTTATAAAGCATTCGCAATAAAAGATTTGGGTGATTTAAAGTTCTTTATAGGCCTCGAAGTAACTCGTTCATTTGCAAGCCTTATCTATATGAAGAAGTATATTTTGGTCTTATTGAGGAATATAAGTTTTCTGGGATGTAAACTAGCTGCAACTCATGTGGCTTCATCCATCAAGCTAACTAGAGATGATGGGTCTGCTAGTGTTGATGTCATTACATATAGACAATTGGTTAGTAAGCTGCTATATCTTACCAATATTCAGTTTTCATGTACAACAGTTATCTCAATTTCTTAATACACCTACTCATATTCATTCTGGACACAAGATATTAAGATATTTAAAAGGCACCTGATCAAGGCCCTTTCTATCATACTAAGAATTTGTTTCAATTAAAAGCGTGTAGTGATTCAAACTGGACTTCTTGTGCAAACTCTCGTAAATTACTTACTGGGTTTTATGTCTTCCTAAGTGAGACCCTCATTTTTTGGACGACAAATAAGTAGTAGATTATTTCTCGTTCTTCTTTGAAAACTGAATACCATGCACTTGCTAATGTTACTTGTGAGTTATAATGGTTGCAACACTTACTCGATGATCTTCAAGTTTTCCCATATAAAAAAAGTTTGTTGTATTATGATAATTTATCAGCTATAAAAATAGTTGAGAATCAAATCTTCCACGAGTGTACTCAGCTTGAAATAGACTCTCATGTGGTTAATCAAAAGACCAGTGATGGCTTTCTTCACCCCATGCCTGTTTCTTCCACTCATCAATTAGCAGATTGATTTACCAAGCCTCTTGCTACTTCTCAATTTCAAAGTGCTACAATCAAGCTGGGAATTCAAAATTTGTACTGTCCAACTTGACAAGGGCTATTAGATTATGCAATTTCTCATAGATATTGAGTGAAAATTGTAATCGCTTTCAAATATAAGGTCTGTTTCATAATTTTTCATAAGGTAAATCTTGTGCATAAATATTCGAAGTTCTCTCAACTAATATTAGATCATCATTTACCAAAATTTCTAAACTCAAGCTATCTCAGTTTTTCCTCATCTTCTTTCTCTCGAAGTTTCCCAAGGAACATTTATTTTACTCTTTAGTTTCATCAATCTCTCTCATTATTCACCGATTTTTCATAAAATCTAATTCAATTTTCATGAAATCTGATATAACTCCTTAAAAACGTTTATATTTTTAAGAAGGCTTAATTAAACTACATTCCAATACATCACTCTAACGAGGAGAGCTTTTTTTGCCTCCATCCTCCTTTGATTCGAAGAGTCAGATAAGAGTTTAAAAATACATAGCCAAAAATAATCCAAATTTTGTACATAAGCTCATTTAAAAAAGCTCGAATTGTACATAAGTGATCAAGATGTTTCATATTTTTATATAATTTGACTTTCTATTTACCGTCATTCTTTATGCATATTGATGATCAAGGCATTTTATTTTTTAAAAGATGACGATTTCAAATGTGTGAGAAATATTACTGCCTCTTTTTTGGAAGATACCACCAAAAAATCAATCAATAACTAGTTGTCAGTACGATTTACAGATTTGCTATCTATGCCGTCACATAGCAACTGAAATAAGTCAAGACACTTATAACTGATTTCAGCACTAACATCTATCTCCATAAAACAAAATTTCCATGTAAGTATATATTGAGGGAGTAAACTATTTTTGCATAATTTATTTCAAAATCATGCTTGCTTAAGTTATAAAAGATCATTAACTTCTATGAGAATTTTAAGTGAAACTGAAATACTAAACTTTAAATTCCATCATTTCAGTAAAATTAACAGCCACTTTTTTTTTTTTTTTTTTTTTTGGGGAATATTTAACGTCCTGTTCTAGTTTCACTTCAAAATTCTCTTGAAGCTCAAGTTCTATTCTGTTATCAAATTTCTAGTTCAGATACGGCCTTTCATACTATCCCAAGGCCCCGTGAGATATTACTATATTTAATGGGTATCTTTCGAGGAGTTCATGCACAAATAAGCACAAAAGACAAATAATATTTCAAAGGACTACGCCATAAAAGGGTAAAAACAAATAAAGGAATGAGGCAGTCACCAAATCATTTAGCTTTTATAGTCGTCCTACAGATTGTTCAAAATCTCCACCTCTTCAGGAACATGTAAATTATACCATCTTGGGCCAATTTTTTTAGGAAAGTAAAATTAGTAAATTTTTTTGAAGTGCCTACTTTTCTCCATCAAAAGAAGCTACCTCTGCTCATGGGTTCTCCTTGATCCCGAAGGAAGTCTCCCGGAGTCAATGGAGCTTCTTCCTTTCCCATTCGTATGCTTCTCTTCTTTCTGATCATGTGCTGCTTTCTGCCTGCGGGACATATCCTCAACATATCGGCGCCAAAAAAGTTCCCTCTCTTTTCTCGGAATCTTACTATACCTGGGATCAACCTTTAGAAGACGTTTAGCTGTTGACCATGAGTTGAGGATTGTTTTGCCCTCTTCTGTCTCCTGGGCAGCCGCTTCCAAAGTAATGACTTCAGCTAACATGATTTTGAAGTCATGCACACATCGCTGAGGGACAAAAATATAACAAATATAATATCACTGTAAAAATTGCCAAATGCAAATGGAATAGATCCATATAAGGAGCAGAAATATTTCAGAAAGCTGATACTTAACAATTCTTTCCCAAGAAAATAAATAGAAAATTCATTTCACTCATTCTTTAGTTTGAAAGCAGAGCATTTGGGAGAAAAAAGAATATTAACATTAGAAGAAACAATGATGTCTAATAAATTGTGCACTGCAGTGCCGCTACAGTATAGGCATCAGAAATCACTGAGAATATTATTTGATACCTGTCATGACTACATGTCTATATATACATTCTCTAAATACATACAAACAACAATCTAGTCGTCGAACTTTTGTTCCCATCACGAAATTGATATAGAAAAGACCACAACCTCAATTGTTTTCTTTCTTGTTTGTGTAAGTTTCATGAACTTTAATATCCTTTAAAGGAAAATGAGCCAATGACCAAACAGTGCTTTTAGCATTGGAGCAAACTGCTGTTCCGTAACTTTTAGGAAGTTGCATGTGGAGAAATAAAATGGGATTATGACATATTGAGCTTGCACCAATTATGGCCGCTGAGAATAACACCCGGCATGTATGCACTTTAGAAGAACATTCGTTAAGCAGCCAAAAATTAAAAAAGCTAGGAGACACTACCAGAGCTTCTCATTGTTGTTATAATTAACAATATATTTACATCTGAATCCTACAACTTCCGAACTACAATAATTTCAGAATTACCTCATGCAGCATCGTTATATGTTCACGAAAGAGCTTCTCTGTATCAGACGGATCTAAGTCAGGGTTGGTTGCACGTCCTTGAGGATCCTTCTCCAGTTTAGGCTTTGAATCTGTCCAAGATGCCTAAACAACCAATTAAGAAAAAAAGAACTGAGTTATCCATCTCATTTAATAGATAATTCTGAAAATAAATAAACCTGGTGTTCAAAACAGGAGCTTTGTACCCATGCTAATCAGGTAAAAGACATCAATTTAAAATTTCATCTTGCTCCCAATAAGTTTACTTATTACTGAAAGAAAAGCCTGAATACCAATTCTAGATAACTGGAGATGAAAATAAAAACTGCAGAAATTTGAGTCAGTCAATTGAAACCATTCATATCTATAGCTCTTCAAAGAGACAGTAAACAGTAATTACCTCAAATCACATGACTCACTAATTCCATATCATTTAAAGCCACCAGCCAATGCATAAATTTTACTCTATATAATGAAGTACATAACTGATGAACTGAAAGGATCTTAAATTTTGAAAAAAGGAAAATAAACTTCTCTGTGAACTAAGGTACATAAGGGCAATCTAAATATTGTGAAACTCATTTGTAAATACACACTTAATTCAACAAGATGTTTAAAATCTTTCCTGAAATAAAAAAATTGACTTTACATTGGATTCTGTATGAGATCATTTTTTCTTTTATCACCCTAATACACTTCATGTCATCTCCGAGTTGAACTAAGTACGGATTTAAAAATGAATTTAAAAAAAAAAAATTAGATTTCTTCCAAACATAGCCTAAGGATATATTTTGATTCATTCCCATTTCAGAATCACCCAAACTGAAACCATAGTGATCAAAATTCTCTACCTGAGGATCTTTGACAGTTTCCACAAGCAAAGCTTTATAAGACGATACTGCCTCCTTTCTTCGAACTTTCAGTCTAACTCTTTCCATTTCTTGTTCTTCTCGTTCTTTACGTTTCCGCAGTTCCCGCTCCCTTTCCTTTAGTTTCTCCTGTATCAATTTGCAGGGAAAAAGAGGTTACATTTTGACATGGGGCACATTACATATACAATTGCAGATAGACTAACAATTACTTCAAAATCAAATAATCCCCTTCAAGTTTTTGAAAGCCTAAAATACTCTGAACATCATATAAAACTGTACAGCCCTTGCTCCCCACAACATCTTGCCTCCCTTCAACTACAGCTTTTCCACAGTCAGTCTCCATTCCTTTGCAATAACTACTTTTCATGATGGAGCAACACAGACAGTAAAACCTAGACTAGCAAATCTCTCTATGCCCTAGAGCAAGATTTTATCCACTGAAAAGCCAACACCTCTTTGTGGTGATTCAAGCACATTTTCCCGTCCTCAAGTATGAGAAGGGAGAGGAAAATAACCATCGAGTTTTCTCAGAAAAAGAAAGAAAAAAGTATATACCTGCTCCTCCCTTTTGGCTTTTGCCTCTCGGTTCGCTTCCGCTTGAATAGCTTTCAGTTCAGATATGTACTCATTGAATAAAACCTCCCTATCTTCGTGCCCAACAGATTTATATCTTAGGTCATTCCTTAGACTGTCCTTTACCTGCGGACATAAAAAAGTTATAAAAGTAATAATTTGAAAAGAAAAGGAAATTGAAAATCCTATAATTATTTTTGTAATTGCAAAAGCAGAACCTACTTTGTTGTGTTTCTCAGATAATGGATAAAAAACTGATTGACATTTAATTCATCTCGTTTTAACATATATGCACTCTGCAGATGATTTTACAGTATGTTCAAAACCGGCAGTAACAAGATTTTATGTACCCAACAGGAAGAAATAGCTAAAGGTTGACAAGTGCAGGAACAGTAAGCTCAACCATTAAGAGCAGCCATATCGTGCAAAATGCTACAAGGGAGGACCACACCCAAGTGACCATAATGACGACCTATTTTAGTGACCATCCCAAGAAACTGCCTCAACCGCAAACAAATCCTAGAAGTACCTACTTAAGACACAGATCCGTTAAGATTTCCTCTAACATGTTGAGAACACCTAATGTAGAGGGTCCTTACCCTGGACCAGCGGGAGTTTACATTTATATCCACCCTTTCCCGTAGCATGGACTTAAATGTAGAGGCAGCAGCTTCACGTATCGCTTGGGCCTTTTGCTCAGCAGCCCTCTTCAATGGAAGGACCCTGCAGTAGAAGCAGATATGTAGAAGAAACTACAAAATAATATGTAAAATATTTACAGGGCAAACTCAAGGAGGTTCAAGAGCGAACAAGGACATGAAGAGAACCAATTAATGTGATCATTATCACTGACCATTAGTTTGCTGACATGTTGCTTTCAGGGTTACCTAGAAATCATTTCTTGGTCTAGAAAAAGATTCAACACAAATTACAGTAAGAAATATATGTCAAATTAAGCTATGAGAAGCCAAATCTGACAATAAATATAGCAAACTTGATATCTACTTAAGCTTGAAGAACCCCTTGAGACAAATTCAAGCCACTTACATCGGGAAAAGAGGTTTGACTTGAAGATCAAACTAGTTTAAGAGTAAAACTAAGCCAAGTAGAAATTACAAGTTACCTAAATATTAATGAAATGTATTTATGATCCCAAGTTCACAAGCCTACACATCTTCAAGCTTACAGTTAAAAGCTAAATGAGCACAAGTCTATCTTCTGTTTCTGTATTGCACAAATGAATCTTAACAAGTTATGTCATCTCAAGGATTCTGAACAATTCTCCATGGTTGATGAGTCTCTGTGCACCTAACACCTGTAAGATTGCAGTCAAGGCAATCACTATAAAAATTAAGTATTGCTTATTTGATTGAGTAATGCCTGTAACCTAGTATATCGATTCTGATTTGCTAAACAAAAACCATCTAAAATTATAGATATCTAATTGTCCAGCTTTAACCGGGTAAGTCATGTCTTGGCCTCATTGGAGATCCAAGGTTCTAGTCCTTTGAGCAGGTTCAATATATAACTATATCAAAAAAATAAAATTACAGATATCTCTAACTAATTTTTTCTTAATCAAGAAGTACCTCTCATTCAATAAAACTTCCCGGTCCTTGCGTTCCAAAGCCTCAAAACGAGGATCACCTCCCCATTTCATTCTAAAAGTCTGATAATCAGTGTTGTGATCAATATCCTGAAAACAGAAATCTAAATGTAAGCAAACTGTTACCAATTACAAGGTGAAAAAAAAAAAGACTTAGATTAAATATTAAGGGAAAAATATGGGATTTAATTTTTAATTAAATCTGTAAACCTTAAATGCTTCATCCAGTAACTGCTTGAATCCCTCAATTGCAGCCTTCTGAGCAGCCCGTTTTTCTTTGCGTTTCTCCTCAGCACGTGTCTTAACATAATGTTCAAATATCGACCTTCGAGCAGAATGACTTGGAATTGCCTGCAATGGAACAGAGCTCTCAAAGCAAGACATGAAGTGATAAATGGAACTGATTAATAAATATGGAAAATAAAAGGGCTCAGAAGGTTGAAAAATACATGGCAAAATGGAACTCAGCATAGCTGCAAAAAGTGAGGTTGGTTCTAGTCCCTTCCCTTGAAGGTGTAACTCCAATAAAAGAATTTATTAGAAAAAACTTAAAAAATCCAACCCTTGTGAAATCAGTAAGTATAGCCATGTGCGGTTGAGCTCATGCTCGTCAGCCTTCATTAAAGTTTCCCATACGGGACAAATTCCCATTATCATTAATGAAAAATATGTTCGTGAAGGGTTTTTTTTTTTTGGGGGGGGGGGAGTGGTGTAGATGGGAGAAATGGCTGGAACATGAATCTTGCTTGAAATCTTAACGATTGGGAGCTCGAAGAGTTTACCAGTCTCCTTCAATTACTAGCTGACGTGCACCGTGATAAAGCTGTGTGGAAACTAAAGAAAGATGGTATTTTTACTGTTAAGTCCTTTTATCACTATTTAGCTAATAACGAGGGGGAAAGGGTGAGATTTCCGGATTCACAGATATGGAAGGTGAGAGCGCCACCAAGAATTACTTTTTTTGCATGGGAAGCGGTCCAGGAGTGCATTCTCACCATCGACAAATTGATGAGAAGGGGCCACATTTTGGTTAGTGGTTGTTATTTGTGCATGGAAGCGGTTGAATCCTGCAATCATCTACTTCTATGGTGTCCGGTGACCTACAGTTTATGGAATATAGTGCATAGTTTATTAGGTATCAATTGGATAATTGGGGGTACGGTGAAAAATGAGCTTTGGGTTTGGGATGAGATTTGTAAGAAGTTGAAATTTATAAAACTCATTCCTTCCACTATTTTTTGGGTGGTGTAGAAAGAGAAAAACAATAGAGCGTTCAAGGGGTGTGTAGGAAATTTGGGTAGAATTAGAAATAAGTGGATACATACTTTTGAGACTCTAATTCCAGGTCATGATGTTTATGGATAGGATGATTTTGGGAAAGTTTTTGAATTTTATTAGACCTGCCAAATTTTTGTACAAGGGCGGCACCCCCTTGGTGCCTTATACATAATATACTTGTTTTTATTTGAAAAAAATATTAATGAAAAATATGTCTTTGCCAAAGGACCTGCTGGAAAATTCAATGATAGTTTAAACTTCCCAGTAAAAATTTCACTCATCTAAATTCATCTTTTATAGACCACCAAAAGAAAACAAATAAAGAGTGAGATTATACAGTCCACGTTCACCAACTTCACCTATAAAGGCATTTTCAACATCCAAAGATGTGTAAGACAAAAGAAGCACATACCAAGAGTTTAGTATATTATCTCCATGACAATTCTGCAAAATACTCTCTCTAATTTTGGTCAAAATTCTCAATTTTTTCTAGATGTTGTGAATTCTCTTTTCTAAATGAGCTTTCCCAGTTTTCTCTCTTGAGGAAGAAAAATATTGGTTCATGTTTCAACAGTAATTATCTATTAGTCCACTGGACTTAGATATACTATTTATTTTAAACACAAAGTTAGGTTCTAACTTTTTCAAAGTAATGGACCTGTTGCAATTACACCGAAAACCCAAGAACTTCCCTATAATATAGCCAATTAATAACATAAATAAAGCAGGAACCAAAATCCGAACATTAAATCTCTAATTTTGATACCATATTAAAATATATGACTACCATCAATTGTCTAAG